GTCTTTAACGTCAGCCTGGCACGAAGATACAATATCCAACGCTTTAGAAACTGCCTGAGGTACTAGATCGTACGATTTAGACCTCGCAAACGCTTGAGCTCCCTCAATTGCTGTAATGGCTAATTCATAATCTATCACACAAATCTTATATGTCTCCTTTAGATACGGATCAGTCGTTGTTGTCGCTAAGCCTTTCATCGATGACAGGTTCATATTCCCAAACGCTTGCGTCTTTTTGAGAACCATATCGACAAGACCACTTAGGTCGAGGCCTACGGTTGTCGCATAAGAGGTTTGCCAGACGCAGAATTTGTCATCGATTGTCGGTTTTGAGCAGAGTTGGTCAAGTAGTTCCTTTGTGACTTTGTCACTAGGAGAAAAAGATGAAGACAAAGGAATGGTTAATAGGATAACGAGAAGAGGAAGGATTGAAAACACGTTTCTTGTGACGCAAGAGAAAGCCATTGCCTTGAGTGTGCAAGAAGAGCTATGTGGTTTCTTAGATTTGAGGAGTGCTTGCTCCTAATTAGCAATTAAATTATATAGGAGCTACTTTCCTCTCTTTCTCTCTGTTGTTTAGGAATGTCCACATTATTAAGAAAAAGATCACATGAAAACTATATCCGTTGACTTGATTATTTAACAATTAACACACCTTGTAGACTTTTCACAAAAGGTAATTTTCATAACAAAATTAGTAAGAAGCATCCAAATTAGCTAGTGCTTGCTAATGTTTTCTATAACTTTTTGGTAATAATTATATATAATTATCTAGTTCTATAGGGAGGGAAAGAAATCTTTGTGTGTATTTATCAGTATCACCCTTTTTTTTTTGAACAAAGTATCACCCATTTAAAATGTATTTTTTTTTGTGAATTGAAGCTTTGCAGAGATTGCTAAAGTGATTAAAACGAAACATTTGTTTTGATTTAAAACTCAGTTGAAAAATAAACAGTTAGTACTACATAATAGTTTCATTTTCTAGCAATATCAAACTTTTTTGGATTTTTTAATAAAATAATAAATAGAGTAACTATGTTTTATTTTAAAAGTAACTCTTATTTTGGCATGTTTATCTTGGTGATGACGTTGACCGGATTTCGTTTCTCTTATTGAACTGTTGACTATTAAAGTTACAGAATATTGACAGGTGCCTGGCTAGGTTTGTAAACTAAATCGACAGTATTATTTGATTCCAAATATGCTCAGGATGAGTATCTTTTTTTGGTCGATGGTCGAGAATAACCGAACCAAATGGTCAAATTTGGAAGTATAACCGAGAAAACCAGTCAAATAGTTAAATCATATTGTACTTTGTTTACTCTACCAAATATGATTCTGGAGAAAGTTACGCTAGTTAACTAGCAATTGAGCCGGCCCTGAATCTTAGAGAATCTGCATCAAGGTTTCACACACATCTTAGAATCACCTTTTTGACAGAAAAGAAGCTGTATAGCTGAGTACATTTCTCATCTTCTTCAGTCTTCACGTTGAATTCGCCAACTTTTCACTTTAGTTTCCTCTATTTTTTTTTTTGTCGTAATAACTGTATACTAGATTTTATCCGCGCTTCCAAAGCACGGATAGTGTATCCTTTTCAAATAAGATAAAATTTACATATGTATGTTTCGTTCGCATTTATGGATCATATTAAATTCAGTATATTTGATTGCAATGGGGAGTATAGGGAGTTATACTTCTTTTGAAGGCGGATATATTTTATAATTTCATTTTTTTTATAAATTTAATTTTACATTTGTGTTTTCTTTAGTCATATTTGTGTTTTTTTGTAATCATATTTATGTAAAATATTTTTAAATGATTGGTAAGGTTTTTTGACAATTGTATTGAACTCACTTCACTGAAATTTACAAATAACCCGCACGACAATTGTATTGAACTCACATCACTTCATTTTTTGACTAAAATTTGTAACATTTCTGACCCGCAAAGAAAATATATTTATTTGAACTCACTTCACTTAAATTTACAGATAACCCACATGATCAACAGATAATTATTAAATAATTTAAATAATTATTTTTTTTAAAAAAATAATATGATTAATATATTTTTAATTAAATTTTTATTGTTTTTTATATTTTAATTCATTTTACCTAAATTTATTATATTTAAAAACAACCTTTTTTAAGAAATTATTTTTTCTATCTTTGCCGATTAGTGGGTATCCGATATAAATTAAACCAACGCACATCCGCTCCGCATAAAATACATTCACTACAAGAAAATTGAGTATTCATTGCGACGGAAAGACGCTATTGTACGATACCATAGCGTTATTAGGTACGCTGTATCATCGGCCGCGATAATAGGTGTCACACTTAATATAGCGCTTTATGCTTCCGCTACAGTATGTTATATGATCAATTTATGTTATTAAAATTAATGATTTAATAAAATTAGTCATAGTGAAAATTTGCTTTTTTATCTTTTTTACTCAACCTCATATTTTTTAAATATTTGATTGGGTTTAAGCTAATAATAAGATATATATATATATATATATACATATTTGAAAAATATAAAATTAATCGTTCTGTTGATATTTTAAAAATAAATTTCCTTTTTAATCATTTACCAAAATATATTCATAATAAAACTTTTGGAATATATAATATTAACTGATCAATTTTTAAATTATTTTATTTTAATCATTTACCAAAATATATTCATATCAAAATAACAATTGAAAAAAAATTTTGAGAAAAAAAAATTTAAAATTTTTGTGAAGTTATGATATATGTATAATTATATATATTATATATATGGCTATATATTCTATAAAACGTAAAGATATTTTATTTTACTAAGCCATTCTGGCAAAATAGATGAACTAAAAAGTTGTGGTTCTTGTCCTTCTTCAGCTTAGTTAGAGTTGCCAACAGCTTTTTCACAACGGGATCTTGCACCTAACCGGTTTGTTTATTGATGTGCATATCCCTCATCAAATCTAACAAATAACCGTCAGAAAATTTTGACCAAATTACATTTTTTTTTAGACATCTGTCGGAAATTTCCAACCAAAAAATATCAGTCTGAATCTCCGTAAAAAAAAACCCTTCTTTCTTATAGTGCAAATTTTACGTTTTAATCGCTTTAGCAATCTCTAAAAAGCTTCAGCTAACAAAAAATACAATATAAATGGTGATATTGATACAATGATAGACACAAAGATCTTATTCCCTCCGAAGAACTAGATAATTATGTATAACTGATCGTTCCGTGTTCATGCACATTATATACATTTATAAAATCATTAAATTATAGTTTAGAAGATTTTTTCATTTGTTTATAAGTTTTAAATCATTTTTAATTAACATGTAGGATAAATTAATAAAAAAATGTATTAAGTGTTATTATATTCTCATTTTAATTAAATAGGCGATTTCAGTTATACTAATTTGGATCAATTCAAATATATATTTTGGATATGTTGAATTGTATATATATTCTTTCGTCACACAATTACTTTTTTATTAGGTTAAAATTGGATTTTATTTTTCTTAATTTCAAGTAGTTAAGTTCATCTTCTTATATTTGTAAACACATTTTTAAAATTTTATAATTTTCATATGTTATATTGAGAAAATTGGGGACATAAAAACATAAAACTTTGTTTCCATCAGTTTAATAATATTCATTTTGGATAAAGTAACTATAATAAGTTTAATTTTTAATTATTTATTCATTTTAAGTTATTCATTACATACTTTTATCAAGATCTGATATTATATGATCGATTTATGTTATTAAAAATTAATAATTTAATAAAAAATAGTCATATTAAAAAAGAATTCTTTTTCTTTTTATTCAACCCCATATGTTTAAATATTTAATTGGGTTTAAGCTAATAATAATATATATATACATATTTGAAAATATAATATTAGTTGGTCTTTTTATATTTTAAAATAAATTTTCTTTTTAATCATTTACCAAAATATATTCATAATAAAAATTTTGGAACATATAATATTAACTGATCATTTCTTAAAATTATTTTATTTTAATCATTTACGAAAATATATTCATATTAAAAAAATTGAAAAAGAATATTGAGAAAAACAAAATATACATTTATTGTGAAGTTATGTTATATATGGCTGTATACTTTAAAAAGTTAAAGATATTTTATTTTACTACGCCATTTTGGAAAATAGATAAAAAACTAAAAAGATAATTCACTTACATATATATATATATATAAATATATATATATAAATATGTATGTTTCCATTCTAAAATTAACAAAATATATACTAAGAAAAGCAGAAATAAAATAATTTTTCTTAATGGAAACTTGATACATATTCCAGTAGGAAAATAGAAATATCAATAAGGGTAGTAATAGTGATTAATATAATTCATTAATGGTATCAATGTAATCAATTATGATGAGAGTTAACGTGACACGTAGGAAACCCATTACTCAAATAATATTGTAGAGACAAAATAGTCATAGTAAGAAATAATATTTATTTTTTTATTCAACCTCACATTTTTAAATATTTAGTTAAGTTTAAGCTAATAATAAGATATAAAGGTCTTTGAAAAATATGATATTAGTTGATCAGTCTATGTTTTTAAAATAAAATTACTTTTTAATCATTTACCAAAATATATTTGTAATAATGTTTTTAGAAAATATAATATTAATTGATCATTTTATGTTTTTATAAAAATATATTCATATTAAAATATTAATTAATCATTTACCAAAATATATTCATATTAAAATGTTTGAAAAGAAATATCTAAAACAAATATTCTATCCATTTTTTTGAAGTTATGTTATATATATATATATGTCCATACAGTTTAAAAAACTTATAGATATTACCTTTTATTATGCTATTTTGGCAAAATAGCTAAAAACTAAAAATAAAATCCGTTTACACATATATATATATATATATGTTTCTATTTTAAAATTATTTCCTTTTTTGATTTTTTAAAAATGAAAATTTAAATTTAAAAATTAACAAAAACTTAACTAAGAAAAACGGAAATGAAATAATTGTTATTAATCAAAATTTGATAAAAAATAGAAAATATAAATATCAATAATGGTAATAATAATATGAATTTAATTCAATAATGACATTATGTAATCAATCATCGTGAGAGTTAACGTTAACGCGACATGTAAAAAACTCACTTCTCAAAAAATATTATATTATGGAGATTATTACAACAAAAAGTTATAGAAAACATTAGTACGCAATAGCTAATTTGGATACTTCATAATATTGTTGTTGATAACAATTGGGACCGGAATCTATGTTCTTCATTTTCCGAGTACCCGTGTAAGAAGGAGAAGAAAGAAAATTCAGTAACTTTTAGAAACAAAGTCTAAACTAAATTTTAAGTTAAATCTAATGGAAATAAGAAAGAGTAACGGCGCCAAATTTGATATCACTCAAATTACCCTAAGGAATGAATTA